TCCATATCAATACAATACTCTTATTTCGTTGCAATCTTTTTATCAAATATATCTTATACCCGATAAAAATTATATAATAATATCAATATAGGTATCGTAAGTAATGACGACATAAATATATATTTTTCAGTCCGATTATGCTCCGATCATATAATTGCAATTCTTTTATCAAATATATCTTATACCCGAAAAGGATAATTAAATATATACAATAAATATATTTAAATAAGTCCGATCCTCCCCCGTTTCTGTCCGTTCCTGTAAATCGTCGCCCATTTCTGTCCGTTCCTGAAAATCGTCGCCCGTTCCTGACCGATCCATATCAATACAATACTCTTAATTCCTTGCAATTCTTTTATCAAATATATCTTATACCCGATAAAAAAATATATGATACTATAAATGTAGGTATTATAAGTAATATCGACATAAATGTATATATATGATTAAGTCCGATTCTGCCCCGATCATGTAATTGCAATCCTTTTATCAAATATATCTTATACCCGATAATGATACTTAAATGTATCTAATATATTTAATTATTAGTAGATTGCTGCCCGTTCCTGCCCATTTCTGCCCGTTCCTGTAAATCGTCGAACCCGTAAATAAGACACACGCTGCAACGATCAACAACTGTTTTATCTGTTGGTTTCGACCAAAGGGGTTCGTTACAAATGTCTGAAATACACATATGCTATATTGATATGGGTCACAGCACACATATGCATACACTAGGTGTAATGTGACCCATATCAGTACAGCATATGTGTATTTCAGACATTTGTAACGAACCCCGTGTTCCGACAATGCAAGGCATCGTCTGATCTACTTATCTAGGGTCAACAACGATGATAAACGTACCTCCAAAATTCCTCCGACCATCCCGTCCAGTTTTCCAGGACAACCCTGAACTCATATTGTACGATCACAAATAACCAGTGTAGTTTACATAGTATACCATACGTTTCTGGTCAGCATGCTGAGTTTGCAAATCGCAGAAAATGGCGACTGATCAATAGGAAGTTTCCCTATGTCTTGGTCATGTGAACGCTTCTAATAAAATTCTATTTATAGAATATGACAAGTTTCGTTTATTTTTAGTAAAGGGGATTCCATCGGCTTCATTAAAAATCGCTATTTATTAAAAACAACTTTTGGTTGCAAGTATTTTCGTGTTTTGACATTTTCGTCATTTTAGATGTACCGCCTTTCTAAGGCTTCAAAGGTCGTGAAATACTTTCAAAACCGAAAACTGTTCAACCAAAAGTTGTTTGTATTATACGTCTCTGTTTGTAATAACCAATAGATAATTTTTTATATAGGATAGTGAAAGTAGATTCGAAGTGCATTCAACCATAACATACAAAGATGTTACCCAAATGCAGGATTATTACCCATATGCGCCGTTGTCCCCAACCTGTTAATTCTATTTTTGATTTAAACATTTTTTATTTGTCATTCAACAAAAAGGATTAGGCACAAGTTATCTCAACTTAGAAACGCCCTCTCCAATACATTTCATTATATTGATTACATGACAACAACAACAAATATATTTATAATATATATGAACAAAGAAGAAAGGAAGGGAAAAGGAAAGAAAAATAAATTTAGAAGAATAAGAAAGAGAGATGAAAGGATAATACTACTGACCTTAAATCTTTTACTATTTTTAATGTAGGTTTGGACTATATGGAAGATATTTTCATTGTCTTCATCTGACAAATTTGGAGAACCGTACACAATAACACTTAGAGAAATATTACAATAACGTGAGATATCATCAATCAAAATTTGTCTTTGTCTGATATACAGCATACAATCAAAAAAGTAATGGACTGCATTTTCACACTCATTTCCACATGCACACATTGGATCACCTACAATATTAACTCTATACAAATCATAATTTAAACTACTACATGAATGACGCAATCGTGTATGTAAAATATTTAGTTTTCGATTTCCTACATGAAAAAAAATAGGCAACAAGTAACCTTGGTTACGCTTAATCGATGATTTAAAAATGTTAACGGATGGCTGCTCTCTGACAGTATTTGGTAAATCGTTCCATAGTCTTATAGAAGAAGGAATAAAGGATTGGAATGAACTAGACAGACGGAAATTGGGAACAGTGTAGTTTTCAGTATTTCTCAAGTTGTAGCTATTGCGTTCGCATACTTTAGGAGGAAGAATGTTAGTTAAATAAGAAGGTGTTTGTTTATTATGGAGTTTGTACATTAGGGAAAGTTTCTTAAGTTTTCTTCTTTCAGATAGAGGTTCAAGTTGGGATTCTTGATAAAGTGATTGTTTACTAGAAAAAGAGGGTAGGCCAGTAATAATTCTTGCTGCTTCAAGCTGAACTTGTTCAAGTTTAGTTAGATCTGCCAGAGAACAACCGTCCCAAACTTCACAGGCATATTCCAACACAGGCAACACAAATACTTTATATATTCTTAACAAAGTTTTCCTACTCAACAGTAATTTAAACTTTCGTAGTACTGATACCTTTTTCATGCATGTTTTTTGAATTTCGGAAATATGTAAAGACCATTTTGCATCTGCACTAAATATTACGCCTAAATGTTTATGACTTTCAACACAATTCAGAGTCTCAGTACCAAAACAAATCTGTAAAGGAAGTATATTTCGCGAATTAGATATAAATAACACATCAGTTTTCTGTTGATTAAATTTAGTAAGCCAGTCCCGTGACCATTTGTCAAGTTTTTCCAAATCTCTGTTTACACACATTTCAATATCAGCATGAGAAGACGAAGAATACATCAAAGAGGTATCATCAGCAAATAAGCGTGAAATACAATTTAAATTATCAACAATATCATTAATATAAACCAAAAATAACAGAGGACCTAACACACTTCCTTGTGGTACACCAGCATTTGTGTAACCTATATTAGAATACACACCTTTAACAAGAACCTGTTGTTGTCTGTTTGAAATGTAATTTTTAAACCAATGTAGTAAACCATCTCTAATACCATAAGCATGTAATTTATGTAAAAGACCCCTATGCCAAACTCGGTCAAAAGCCTTCGATATATCACAAAAAATTAGACAAGTATGTTTTTTTTCTTCTAATGAACAACATATATTATGGTAAATTTCTATTAGCTGATGGACAGTGGAATGATGAATCATAAAACCAGATTGTTTTTCGTAAAATAAAGAATGATCAAGGAAAAAATTATAGATGTGTTTAAATACAACCCTTTCAAAAACCTTACCTATACAAGACAACAAAGTAATTGGTCGGTAATTTGACACCAAGTGTCTATCACCCTTTTTGAACAGAGGTAAAATAATACCATGTTTCCATATTTCAGGGAATATTTTAGAATTTAGTGACATATTAAAAAGAATTGACAATGGCTTACATATAGAATTCGCTGTAAATTTTAGCATATGATGACTTATAGTATCATGACCAGATGCTTTTCCTAATTTCAGAATTTTCAAAATATCACATATTTCATCACTTTCAACCACAATAGAATCAAGTACAGAATCAGTTCTGGAATCAAAACTGGGTAAAGATTTGCCAATATCATCTATGTTTGAGATAGAGCTAAAATAATTATTTAGAATATTTGCTTTCTTATCATCATCATATTCAATATTTCCATTGCAAGGATTAACTAGAGGTGGAATAACCTCCTGAGAACCCGACTGTTTTAATAATTTACGCACTAGTCTCCAATATGACTTAGGATTACTGGTATTAAGATTATCTATAATATCACCAACACTATTATAAAACATTTCTCTTGCATATTTTTTCATATTATTAACCTTATTTCTTTGTCTTTTAAATTTCTCTAAGTTGGATATGGACTTAACACGTTTAACGGCGTTATGTAACCGGTCTCGTAACTGAAAAGCTTTTCTTAATTGGGAATTCATCCATAATTTATCACGAGGTCTTATATAAACTGTTTTTTTGGGTATACATTCTTTAGCAAGTTTCAAAAATTGATCAGTAAATTCAACACATGCTACATTAACGGAAATAAAGTTTTGAAAAAATGTAGGCCACTCAAAAGTTTCTATTAAAAAATTTAACCTATTAAAATCGGCATGTTTATAGGCCCAAATTTCTCGAGTGTAGGTACAAGAGAGATTAACAGGTATAGACAAAAATGCAATACATGCATCATGATCACTTATATTACGATCAATCGGAATTACATACGAATCAGTACATTTGTAATTGGTAGGGTCAGTTAATAAAATAGGATCAAGTAAACTATTTCTGGTTGTTCCACGCCTAGTCGGCTCATTAATAACGTTAGTTAAGTCCATTTCCAACATGACTTGGTGTAAAATATGATTACGTGATAAAGTTAGCATATCTACATTTATATCACCAACAATAATAACATTCGAAGTAATTTCTAAAGCTTTTTCAATCGAATACTTAAAATTCTCCCAAAAAGGGTAACGTGAATTTTCTGGTCTATAAACGGTACATATTAATACACTATTGTGACCTAATTCTACCTGTATCCAAATTATTTCTCCATCCAGAAATTCGAGATCATTCCTCCGGACACATTTTAAGGAAACAGAATAATATACTAAAATACCACCCACGGAGAAATTTCTGTCTTTTCTAAATGGTTCCACAAAACCCGGTAGAACTAGTTCAGAAGTAGGTACATACTCATCCAAATGCGTTTCAATCATACATAAAATATTGAATTCATTTGTAATATTTTCAATATATTCTAATTTATTCCTTATACTTCTAACATTCAAATGAAATAGAGATAATTCATTTACTGATGGACCTGTATTAGTTTCTACATCCATGTCCAATATAAGTAATATTCATGTCATAAAATGGTGTTATTAAGATCATATATATAAATTTAACAGTAAATATTTAGAAAATTTGAAATTACTTTTCAAAAATGTTAGTTATTCAATTTTGTTAAACATAACAGTATCAATTATATAACAATGCTGGAGAAGAACCTTCAGTTAAATTAGATACTCGAATACTATGAAATTCAAAAAGTTTATGGATTGTATATGATTCGAAGTCCAATCAATTACTTGATTAACTCACAGAGTGTCTGTTTTGGACAAGCTAGATATAGTTCTCTGACCAATCTTATGAAGGGTAGACGAGTAGGTTCTATTAATCAATGTACAAATTATATAGATAAATAAAAGGAATTACGTTACGCTTCTTATACATCAATCCAGAGACGTATATATTACATATTACCACGGACTTAGATAATCTAATTTAATTCCGTGATATTACGTAATATAAACGTCTTTGATCATCCGAAAGTAAAATACTAAATGACATGAAAACTTGATAAAACAATGAAATCGGTTTACTTTAACGATTAAAGCAAATACTTTCCTGGAGGCTAGAAGACTTCAAATTACCAGCAAATCAAACTTCATATATTAAATCAATCATTTTACAGTAGTTGTGGTGGCAAATGCCATTTTTGATTTGTAAGTTACCTTTGATAAGTAAAAAAATAAATCAGGACCTGGAACTCAGTTCAGCCACAGGTGTTAGGCAAATATTATATGATATATATAATATACAATACTAACAATTGATATATTATACTTATAGCATATAACGGGTGTCATGCACCTTTTAATTCACTTAAAATGAGAGATATTTGAAAAAGCCAAGTTTGAGATGTGTCCAGAAGCCATGACTCAGTATAAAACAAAAGGAAAGTATGTAGTAAATATGCAATTTATGTAAGTCTACTTAAATGAGTGAACTTGTAAATTTCAAGTCAAAATATTAATTTTTCATTCTGTTACATATGCTGGTCTAATTTATACATGTTTTCAAAAACAAAAATGGTATTATTTTGGTTTTTAAGCTCATTTTGAAAACAGCAAACTATATTTGTGATTTACCATACCCCTTTTGGTACCCCCAGAAACCCACTTTCGGTCAAAGTTTTACCTTAGTTTTTCCGCATATCATACAATAGGACATCTTTGAACAAAATAAGGAGGTGAAAATCC